GCAGGAATGTATTAATTATTCTGTGTATGATTCAGGTACAGATGATGTGAGGCATGTCTGTGCTTCATGTTGTGTAAGAATGCAATATTTCTTCTGTGCTTCTGGTTTTGTTTCTGTGGATCAGGCTTCATGGCAGCACTCTGCTGGCTGAATAACTAGAGATATTTTCTTCTCTCTGTCGGTAGGGGTGAAGATATCTTGTCCATTCTTACAGAAGTCAATGAAGATGTGAGCAAACGTGCAGACAGCTTTGGAACAAAGAAGCAAATGCCCCAGCCAGCCTACACCTTGAGAAAGAAGCTGATATTCCCAGTACCTAAAAATCCTCCCCCATCACAGCAGTAATAAAGTTTTTCTTTTCTTTTACAATCACATCTTGTCTTGGATACAATTCAGTCCAGTTCCTGGAAAAGTCTGACCTCATCAGCCTCACAACTTGCTACCTCTCAAGGTGAGGTCTTCTGGAACATGCTAACATTTGGAGCCTCAGGTGCAATGGCTGTAGCCCTGCTGCAGCTGCTCACAGTGACTGTTTCCTGGAGTGGCACTGGGCTCTTGTTGGTATAAGGCTGGTATGCAGACTTTTGCAAGCATTTGTAGGTTTCTGAAAGAGCAATGTATGCATGACAGTTATTGTGGGCACAACAGATAACCATGACTTTCAGTATCCAAAATGGAGTGGTGTAAATTATCTATTTTAGTCCCATACTTTTTTTTTTTCTTCAATACTTTAATGATCTGAAATTCTGCTAGTGAGCTGTGTTGTTCTGTGTAGGAGTCTCCAAAACCAGAATGGACAAAACATCAGTAAATGTACTCCTTGGGGGTGGGGGTGAGAGAGCCTGTAATGTCAGGGGAACATGAGTCTTTTCCATCTCAAATTTAAATGGCACTGGACGTGTCTACACAAAACACCTAATGCCTGTTGGACTAATTCTACTCTGCCTTAGCATGGCTAGCAAAAACCACACTAATGGGTAATTAGCCCAGTGAGCACTAAGCGCCACAAAACAGCGTTCGTTTGCACCAGTGCTCAGTAGACTTAGTCCAGTGAGCACTAAGCATCACCAAAAAAGCACTCATTTGTGCTAATGCTCAGTAGCACCGATTGCAGCATATTAAGTTAGCACCTGTTATTATAGGCACTAAACTTAATGCATCATAATTATGGTGTGCATTAATGAACATGTAGACGTGCCTACTGAGGAACAACTTGATTCTTCATTTAAAGCAGTTATTAATTCCAAAGTGCACTCTGGTTGCCATATATGTAGTACAAGCTTAGTTTGGTATACATTGTGCCAAATCAAATCATTCCGAAAATGCAGCGTCTCCACTGTTGCCTCCTGCATGAAGACAGCCCTTTGATTGTCATTTACCTTATTGTTGTGGTGAAGAGAAGTTCTTTATCAGATGGGACAGTTAACAGTGCTGTGGATGTATCAAGATGATTAGCTTTTATTTTTAAGTCTGCAAGGATTCCTTTTCCCAATATGTAGAAATGGTTCCACACATGTGAGTACACAGAAAATGGGCAGTACCTACATGACACGTATTTTTCAATTAATTAATGGGACTCTGCAAAATCTTCCATGTAGGATTGTGCCGTGAAATCAGAATTAGAATTCAGGCTAATCTCTTGTGCTGATTGACTACTTGAAAGTCTTTTTACTCTTTTTTGGTCTGGGAATGCTAGTGTGCTCATAGTGTAACCCAGTTGTAGATGGTAATGATTAATATACATTTTATTACCTTTCTCACTCAAAGAATCCCAAAGCATTTTGCAGACAGCATTGGGGTAGGACTATCTTATCAGTGAGAGGCAGCCAAGTGTTGTTTACAGGGCTGTAGCCTCCTGGCTACAGCCAACTTTATAACAATGGGGTAGGGGAAATTCTGATACAGGTGAATAAGGCAATCTCTTACCCCTACAAAATGGGCAGTAGTCTTTAATGTGTATGTTCAGCAAACAAGGCTTTTTTTAGATAGATGCCAACACAGGGCACTGTAGGGATCATCTCTTTACCTCAAAGGCAGAAGTGCCAAATGGAAGCTACTAGGATTTAAGCCTATAGTTCTAGGCATGCCTACTATTTTAAACTTGATGCTGAGGCTGTTAGGTCATCACCCTCCAGCAATTATAATAAAGTTCTCTCGTTTTAATAAAATCTGTGATATGTACTTTTAGTAGCACAGTTCTTTATAATCCAGAACATCAGCCCCAAGAAAAATAATCTCCCCTGCAATGGTGAATGAAACCCTAGTTTAGCTTCTGCGTATGGTGAGGTAATTGCAAGCACACAAATCAACTACAGCTCATTTGGAAATGAGTTATTTTGCAAATCCCTCTGTTTCTTTGTTATACTCACAGCAGAATTGCCTCCTATCCATAAGTGGTTTGCATTAATTTGCCTTTCTTTTCTGGCTCAGTATTTGAGTGTTTAGTATATTGTTGGGTTATGTACTGTTTGTTTGTTTTTTTGAAGCCTCACAGGTTTTGAGCCCTAAAATGAAACATTATCAGCATGTCCTCACATGCATGGGCTTGCACTTGCTGGGGCACAAATAGCAGCAGCACAAATTTTTGCCACTGTGCATGCCCCTGTATGGGGTTTGCTGTGGAGCAAAATGTTCTGCTTCAAGGAAACTGCCGTTTCCCCATTCCTCCTAGCTCCCGGCATACTGGGGAAGCTGAGGGACACCGAAAGCAGTGGAGGTGTTCTGGCTGGCAGGACCCAGCCTCCAGTTGCTCCGATGCACACTCCTAGAGTGTGCACCACACTGCTTTTTTTTGCAGTGGGTTCTTTTGATACTGGGAGTTCCTAGTATCAAATTTTGGCACTACGCTGCAAATTTGCAGCACAGCAAATGGTTACATGTGTGCTGCATGCAGTTTGCATGCCTCAAACAGTTTTGAGGAATTGCAGATCACATGTATACACTCATCTGGATGTGCCTTATCTGTCCAAGTTTAAACTCCTGGCTAGGGACTCTCTTGGTAAAGGTGGTTTGTAACTGGAACCCATTGTGCCAATTGTACTGCGATCGCATCATGCTGTTTTGTTATAAGTGTTTATTTTGGGGGTGGGGGGTAGACTTTCTCAGTCGCACTATTCTGCTATTTTTGCTAGCCAAATGACATCAGCCTGTGCGCTAAACTATGGTCTTTTTTTTTACAGCTGGCCAGTCTTATGGACTTCCATAGCCAGTGTCAGCTTGGCTCAGAGTGTCTTAGCTGCTCTAATTTCAGACCACAATTCTCTGTATTGAAAAGAAACTTGGGTTGAGCTCAGGAAAATATTGATTATTCGTTACATTCATTGAATCAATCTCTTGCAACGTAGTGTCTAATTCAGGTTGGGACTTGGCTGATAGCACTACAATATTTAATACTATGGTATTGTGAGGAGGTGCGGATAGATGGCACCAGTTCTTAATTTGCTCTAGCACAGGCTTTTGCAAATGGCCTTGCCAGACCTAAAGCTTTAGCATACAACTTCTGTAACAACAATGTCAGTCTGTTTTGCATCGTGAGTGGCCAATGGCATTTCATTTTCCAGGTAGTTGGGAGAATGCTAAGATATCATGCAACAAGTGTCACTATATGCTATATGTGTGGGTTCTAATAATGTGGTGGTTTTAATCACCAACTATGAACTGACTGCCCAGAGGAGTTTTCCATCTATTGGCTCCTCTGTGAGATCCTATGAAATATGAACTTTCATTTCTACCCAGGAGAACTTTTAACAATCTTTTCTCCAGTGCCTTATGAAGGGTGTTTGTGCCTGAAAGCTTGCCATTAAAGGAATTTTTTTGCAAAAATCTTGTTGGTCTAATACAAGATATCATCTCTACTACGAGTGCTGATTGCCTTTTCCTCTAGAGCAATGCAGCTACAACCTGGATACCTGACACATGAAAGATGATTTTTTTCAACATTTAGCTGATTTTTTTTCAAAAATGAAATCTTCATATTTTCCCAAGCAGGAAGCAAATGTGACCACCTGAAACCTGAGATCCTGCTCCTGACTTTGTTTCAAGGTAATTTGCATTATCATGGATCCTCACAGGTGGTAAGCGGCTTCATACCAGCTATGAACTGACTGGCCAGAGGAGTTTTCCATCTATTGACTTCTCTGTGAAATCCTATGAAATATGAACTTTCATTTCTACCCAGGAGAACTTTTTAAAATCTTTTCTCCAATGCCTGATGAAGGGTGTTTGTGCCTGAAAGCTTGCAATTAAAGGAATTTTTTTGCAAAAATCTTGTTGGTCTAATACAAGATATCATCTCTACTACGAGTGCTGATTGCCTTTTCCTCTAGAGCAATGCAGCTACAACCTGGATACCTGACACATGAAAGATGATTTTTTTCAACATTTAGCTGATTTTTTTTCAAAAATGAAATCTTCATATTTTCCCAAGCAGGAAGCAAATGTGACCACCTGAAACCTGAGATCCTGCTCCTGACTTTGTTTCAAGGTAATTTGCATTATCATGGATCCTCACAGGTGGTAAGCGGCTTCATACCAGCTATGAACTGACTGGCCAGAGGAGTTTTCCATCTATTGACTTCTCTGTGAAATCCTATGAAATATGAACTTTCATTTCTACCCAGGAGAACTTTTTAAAATCTTTTCTCCAATGCCTGATGAAGGGTGTTTGTGCCTGAAAGCTTGCAATTAAAGATTTTTTTTTTTTTTTTTTTTTTTTTTTTTTTTTTTTGCAAAAGTCCTGTTGGTCTAATAAAAGATATAATCTCTACTACCAGTCCTGATCTCTGGATTCTAATCTAATGGTACCTCAAAGAACCCTAATGTTCCCAGTTCTGTTCTGGCCACCCTAGAATGAATGGGATGGCAGCAGGTATAAAAAGAGCAATGCATGTATAAGTTAATTGTCTCATATCCAATTTGCAGTTACTGGCCTGTAATGTGCGTTAGGTAACCATTATGTTTTCCTGTTGCTGGTGAAGAAGATCCGCTGGTATAGTTTGTGGAAGCAGGAAGTTGTTCTCAGAGACATTTGGCCATTGGTAAGCAGGAGACTGGTTGCAGCTCTGGGCATGCTGGGATAAGAAATGCCTCCTCATTTTGTGTCCTGTCCATGAAGAAAATTCTGCTTTCCCTTTCTTTTCAGTACAGTTATGCTTCTGAGTTTAAGGCAAGTGACCAGTGCAGCAGCCTCAGGCACGGACTTGTAGGGACTGAAAAATAGCAGTTGTTGTTGTGGACACACAATTGTGCCACTAGCACAGTGGCAACCAGAGATCATCAGCACTGCCTCCATCCATCACAGCTGCCCTTAGTGCCCAGCTGAGTGGTTAAGCCTCTGGTTAAGCTCCGGTTAACATTTTAAGGTGGCTAACTCTAGTCAGAAAAGCTAGGCATCATCCCATCTCCTACCTCTACTGGCCTGTACCCACAGAACAGCAACTTCAGTTCAGGCTAGTTGAAAATTCCCCACCATGTATATTCTGCCTGTGCACAAGTTGCACTGATATAATTTGTACTCTTACCTAACCCAGTGTAGGCATGCTCAGTGTAATAGATTTCATAGACATTAGGGCTGGAAGGGACCTCAGAAGATCATCAAGTCCAGCCCCCTGCCCCAGGGGCAGGAAGTCAGCTGGGGTCATGGGATCCCAGCAAGAAAAACATCCAGGTTTCTCTCAAAGTAGGTGCTTGAACCACCTCTGGTGGCAGGCCATTCCAGACCTCCTGGGCTCAGACAGTAAAGAAGTTCTTCCTTACATCCAGCCTGAAGCAGTCTTGCAGGAGTTTATAACCATTTGACCTTGTAATCCCTTGGGGTGCTCTGGTGAACAAACATTCACCCAGGTCCTGGTGAACACCCCTTATAAACTTATAGGTGGCCATCAGATCGCCCCTGAGCCTGTGCTTTTCCGGGCTGAAAAGTCCCATGGCTCTCAGCCTCTCGTCATAAGGTCTGTTTTCCTGACCTCTGATCATGCGCGTGGCTCTCTGCACTCTCTCAAGCTTCTCCACATCCTTTTTGAATTGTGGAGCCCAAAGCTGGACACTACTCCAGCTGCGGTCTCACCAAGGCCGAGTACAAGGGGAGAATGACGTCCTGGGATTTGCTTGAGAAACATCTATGGATGCGAGCCAGCGTTTTGCTCACTTTACTGGCTGCAGCATCACACTGCAGGCTCATGTTCATCTTGTGGTCAATCCTGACCCCTAAGTCCCTCTCATCCATAGTGCTAATCAGCGTAGCACTGCCGAGCCTATAGACATGCTGCAGGTTTTTTCTCCCAAGGTGGAGAACCTTGCATTTTTCAGTGTTAAACACCATCAGGTTCTTGTCCACCCATTTACTGAGCCTGTCACGGTCAGCCTGGATTCCACCCCCTGTCCTCAGGTGTGGATGCTGTACCCCAAAGTTTAATATCATCAGCAAAGTTGGCCAGTCCACTTGATTCCAATGTCCACATCGTTAATGAAGAGGTTGAACAAAATAGGCCCAAGGACAGAGCAGGGCACCATGACGATTGAGTTCCATCAATCACCACCCTCTGGGTCTGACCATGGAGCCAATTCCCCAGCCAGCGAATCGTGGTGGACCTGAGGCTGCAGTTGGCCAGTTTTGCCAAAAGGTGATCATGGGATACCAGATCGAAGGCTTTTTTTAAAGTCGAGATATATAACATCAATCTCTTCCCCCTTGTTCAGGTGATAGGTCACCTGGTTGTAAAAGGAAATGAGATTGGTCAAGCAAGACCTACCTACAACAAACCCATACTGGCTGTCCCTCAGGGTGTTGCCATCAGCCAGTCCATTAAGAATGGCCTCCTTGATGCTTTTTTCCAAGACCTTCCCCAGGATAGAGGTCAGGCTAATGAGCCTGTAATTTGCTGGATCCACTTTCCTCCCTTTCTTGAAGATGGGCACCACATTGACCTTCTTCCTGTGCGGGCCAGGCATGAGCTGGGCCCTTTTTTGTGCTCTGTGTGGGCTGTGGCCAGCAGCCTGGGCACGCGGGGTCGGAGAGGTGGGGCGCGACAAGCTAGAATTAGGCACAGACTCGTAGCGGTAGATTTAAAGATTGTTTACTTACACCGAAGATGGTTGCGGTGCAGGCTGGAAAACTTGCTTGAGTTGCGGTTACAGACAAAGACAACATGAACGATCATGTGGAGTTTGCTAGGCTCCACAGAAACAGAGCTCCGGATGCTCTGGGTGAGCGCGCCACCAAAATCGGACTCGTAGATACGTCTTATAATTTTTATCGCTCGAAGACGGGAAGAGGTGGGCGATGGATCAGGTCGCCAAGCTCCTCTGAATCTCACACAGGTCAAGCCTCTTATACGGCTAGCAAGCCAATCACTAGCTGCCACGTGTGAATAATTTAGAACTAGCCAATAGCGGGGAACCAATTTGCATGCGGGTGGCGGGAACTCCTTTGCACCGTGCATTTCTCTTGCAACTTGAGCAATGCACCCTGCAGAAGAAGCTGCAAATAGGCAGGAAACTCGTCCCTGCACCGGAGCCTTCCTCCGCAGCAGAAAACTCCACCGTGCAATGAAGCTGTAATTTGGCGGGGATAATTCTGGTGCCGAAGCACACACAAAATCATACCTTTGGGTTATGACACTTCCAATCATCGGGCACTTCACCAGAGTGCCAGGAGTTCTCGAAGATCTGTGCCAGGGGCTGAGCTATGATGCCAGCCAGCTCCTTGAGGAACTCTGGGGTGTAAATTGTCAGGACCGGCTGACTTGAAGGTGTCCTGCCTCTCAAGCTGTTCCTTCACAAGGTCAGCATTGATGGAGGGCAAGGAACCACCCTCACTTAGGCGTCCCTGTCCCCATAATGGGCAGGGGCGTTCCATGGGACTTGTGAAAGAATGACACAAAGTACCCATTTACGAAGTTTCACCTAGCTTGGAGGTCTTCAAGAAGAGGCTAGATAGTCACCTGGCTGGGATCATCTGACCTTGGTCCTCTTTCCTGCCAGGGACAGGGGGTCGGACACGATGATCCATTGTGGTCCCTTCTGACTCTACAATCTATGAATCTAAGTTGGCTTTTTCCTGGGCATAGCTTATGCATCCAGAATCACTCCCTTGAGGAGCAACCACTCTTCCTGAACTCCCCTCCCTTTGGGGTCGTGGTCCCTTAGGGCCTCACCGACAAGTCTCCTGACCTTGTCAAAGTCAGCCCTCCTGAAGTCGAGGACCTCTGTACTGCTGACTGACTTGACAGCTTTTCAGCAGATGGTGAAGGTGATCAGCTTGTGGTCGCTGTCACCCAGCTTCTCTTCGATCATTAAGTCACTGATTAGGTCATCCCCAGTTGCCAGTACCAGGTCAAGCAGCGCTTTGCCTCTTGTTGGCCCGTAGACTTCTTGAGTCAGTTAGAGGTCATCCACGCATGAGAGGAAGCTTTGCGACCGTTCGGATTTGGCTGAGCACTCTTCCCACGAGATGTCAGGGTAGTTGAAGTCCCCCACGACAACCATGGACCGGGAGCGTGCGGCCTCAGCCAATTCCCTGGCGAACTCCTGGTCAATCTCTTGATTCGGGGAGGGAGGTCTGTAGTAGACTCCCACCATAGTATTTCCTGTGCCGTGTTCCCCATGGATTTTAACCCAGAGGGTCTCTAGTCGTCCACCCTGGGTGCCGATGTTGGCTTGTCAGGGAAAGCTATGCGTCCCTACATAGAGAACTACACCTCCTCCCCTTTTGTCCACTCGATCCCTCCTGTACAGGGTATAGCTATCTATACCCATGGTCCAGTCATGGGTGGAGTCCCACCAGGTCTCTGTTATCCCTATGATATTGTAATTGTGTTGAGCAGGAGGACAAGTTCCTCCTGTTTTATTCCCCAAGCTCCTGGCATTGGTGTACAGGTGTGCAAGTGTCCCCTTGGGGGCCTTTGCCTTGCCTGCAGCTTGCTCTAGGGCTGGGGCAAGGGTAGGCTCCCTTAAGTGCCTTGATCTGCTGGCTTTGCAAGGATTGCTCAGCTGGCCAGCCATGGCAATGGTCCCCCCATCCCCCGGCAGGCTTGGTTTAAAGCCCGGTGGAGCAGGTCAGTCAGTCTGTCTGAGAAGAGCCTCCTCCCCAGCGGAGAGAGGTGGAGGCCATCCCTTCCCAGCAGCTCACTGTCTCTCTCACCAAAGAGCGGACTATGGTCATGGAAGCCAAAGCCTTCCCAATGACACCAGTGCTGCAGCCTTTGGTTCACTACCTGGATCCTCTTCTCCCTCAGCCCGTAGCCTGAAACTGGAAGGATCGAGGAAAACAGCACCTGTGCCCCCAACCCCTTAAGCCCCGCTCCCAAATCCCTGTAGCATCTCATTACCCAGCTGGGAGCACACACGTGCTCCTGGACACCAGGACTTCCCGCTTTTTCTGGTTTCCAGTACCTTTCCTCCTGCTGCTTACTGCCATTTTCACTTTTCATGGTCCCTGCCCTGGCATTTTTCATGGGGGGCTTATCAAAGTTGTGATTTCTGTGAAAACTGTATAATTGCAAATTTGATAGGTCCCTACTTATCGCCATCCCAGCTCTTGCCTGACTCAGAAAATCTAAGAAATTTTGCAAGGAAGATTGACTCGACATCCAAGGCTGCATCATCTGCAAACAGGAAGTCTCTCAGCACCAGTTCTTTCAACTTGGTTTTCACTCTAAATCTTGCAATATTGAACAAGCCACCATCTAGTCTGTTTCAAAGATAAATACTGTCCTTGAATGCATGAAGCAGCAGGAGTGAAAAGAAGATGTTAATAAGCACAGGGGCTAACACACCCCGGTTTCACCCCATTGTTGATGTCAAAGGGATTTAATTATTTGTTTTCATACACTACAGTAAATAAACTACAACTGTGCTTTCACACTCTGCTGAGTCTCTTTCATTTTCTCTCTTTTTAGTACATCTGTGTAACTGGAAACCAAGCGTAGGGCTGTGCACTGGACATCATGGCATTAAGGAAGATCTGAAAAAAGAAGGCAGAGGAAGAAGGCGGCCCAGGAATTAAGTGATCTGGAGAGAGAGCTGCTCTCATTTGTACATACTGCATTTCCTGGTGTGGAGACATTTATACTGTTGCTCTCCTGGTAGACCACAAAAGAACATGAGTCATTAGGGCTATTAATCTCATACTTTTTAAGCACTTTGAAGGGGCGGGGGTGCTATTTTTCCATATGAAATTTCACATCTGTTATTTATGCTTTTAGCTCCCTGGAGGAACATGTTTTAAAATGAAAAATGCAGATACATTAAAGGTAATCAAAATTATGTTAATCATAGTATTGTAATGCACTTGTACTCTCCTGATGTCTGGTCTTGGGCAGCACGGATAATACTGATCTTCAACCATTGTAACTTTTTTTTTCTCTGGGAAGTTTCTTCATTATAGTGCCTGCTGTGCCTCTTTTACTAGTCTTTTTCTAAGGTTTCTTTCCACTTCTGCAATATTTGATTAAGTGAACTGGTATGGGTGATGAGAGAATATAGAGATCAATTGCATTTGTCTTTGTGGTCACAGTTGCTTTTGGATTGTTTGCTTGTCACTTTACTTTCTGCTGTGAGTCACATGACAATACACTAGAAGCAATAAGAACCTATCCCTTTCCTGTAACTTCATGGGAAGAAGAAACAGAACCGGCTCCAGACACATTTCAGCTATCAGTCTGCCTGGGTAAGTGGAATAAGTAGCCTTAAAGTTAGTTTGTGTGTAGTGAAGGAAGCTTTTTTGTTTGTTTTTGTTGCTATATTAATATCCATCTAGTTTGAGTCCATTTTCTTGTTTTGGATTATAAGCAAATGGCAGAAGACAGCAACAGTTAGTTTTGATTTTGCACACACCCAGTCCATGCTTTCATGCATGCACACATATAGCTAGTATACTTTATTTGCTGTAGTCTAAATGTGTGTGCAATCCTTTAAATATATAGAAATTTTGAAAGTGAAAGTAATTTGATTTCCTTTATTGGAAAAAATTATTTTTCTGGGTGTAGGTTGCTTGTTACGTAAACTACAAATGCATGGGTATGTGAGAGGAGATTCTCAAGCCATATTCACAATTACCATCTACCATATATTTTTCTCTTTTTTTAAGGAAGTAACTGTATGATCAAATACCTGAAAGTCTTGACTCATGCCTGAATGAATCACATGTATTTCTCTTCCTTAATGTTTGTATGAATCTGTACTAATGTGCAAGGTCTAATCTATTTTTAAAACTCACTTTACATATATTTAAAGAGAAATGAGTGTTGGAGACAGAATTTAAACTATATAGTCCATAGGACAGAAACTGTTTGGCTGATATTGTACCATTTACTTTAAAGTACTATTGTAGCCATTTATTTGATTGCTAATTATTATATAGCATTTGTAATTGTGTTAGTAAATACTATTTTAACACAGACCACTGTAGTATAACCTAGAATGGACCTTAGGACTCATAACAAAAGATTTGTGTATTTCCTGGATTAGCATTTACAAGTATTGAGTACCAGTAATTCAAGTGAAATGGCAGTCTGTCATCTTGGGTTAACACAGGACTATAAACCCTAGTGTAGACAAAGTTTGCTGTATTTGAACAGGACCAGGTAGATGGTGCATCCCATCCATGTGAATATCAGTGAAATGGGTCAACAGATTCCTTGGTAGCCTGAGAGTTAGGGTTTGTTACAGGATGATGGTCTGCTCCCATGCAAGGCTGCCCCAGTAAATGTCTCATGAGCATTTTTGATAAACAGTGTTGCCCAAAACAAAGAAAAAGAGTATAAAGACCTTTTTATTATTTACAGCATTTCAGCCATGAATAAGTTCTGGCTGCCAAATACTGCTCCTCTGCTCTGGGGTTGATGGAGCAGAGCACTAGCTAGTATTCCCAGCATCCAGTAGGCAGAAAAGTAGTATGCTATTGGTCCTATATTATGAGCAGAGGATTTTTGCAACATTGTGCTCTTATTTCCAAATTCAAAGATTCTTTCCAAACTCAGGACTTGGACCCCTCCTAACTGAGCATATCTACATGAGACGCTACTGTGCAGTGGTTACTGTGCATTTATTTAGTACTTGTATAATCAAACACTAAATAAATGCACAGTAACTGAAGTTACTACACAGTAGCACTGATGAACATCTTAGCCAGCGCTAAGTAGCGTATTAGCACACTTAGTGCTGTGACACACTAGTACACAGTACTATTCGGCTACTGCTCAGTCAGCGTCTTGTGTAGACACACCCACTGTATCCCAGAACTGAGATTTTCAAAGCTCCCTCTGAAGATTAGGCACCTAGTGAAATGGAAGTTATGTTTGAAGGCCCTAGTCAAATTTTGAAAATTGCTCTCACAATCTGTATCTGGTCTATATATTACAAATATGCAAATAACTGTCATTAGCTTAGACACAGCTTGTAAATGAGCTGTAGTCAGCCAGTGCTACAGACCACAAGTATAAAGTGGAATAATACCTTTCCCGTCTAATCAGTCAGTAGTGCTCTGGTTACAGCTGAATGCAGGAGTTTGTGAGAGGGCAAGGATTTTTGGGGGATAGAGTTAGACAAGCTTTTGAATACAAAGCAATTTTTCATCGGGTAATGGGAATTTATGGATGCTTTCTTCACACAGGGCCTTACATCTGTGGCAACGCAGTATCTGTTGATCTCATTTACTGCAGGGAGACTCTGTAGATATTGGAGGGAGTGGGGCAGGATGGTGTTATGTGGATCTTGTTTCTGTATAGGACCTAATCTTCATAAAAAGGAATTTTGTTGAGCTTCCAAAAGACAGATGGGCAACCCTAGGGGAAAGGAAGAAAAGGAGACCCTTGCAGAGAGCCAGGATGATTCAGCTTCCCACTTAGCCACGGACACCATTCCACAGAGCGCAAGAGGGGCTTGTCTCCTTGACATTCTCTCTTAACTTTGTGCTTAGCACAAAGTTAATTTTGTTCATTGGTGTTTGTGAATTGACAGGACCAAACATCAAAGTTAAAGCTACAGAACATCAGCTCTGCATTTTGTTATATGTATCCATTTATTTTGGATGTGTTTCTTTTGTAACTGTATTGAACTGGCTCATCAATCACTGTGTTCCATCAGTAGCTCACTTTATGTTTAGATCTGATTCCTGGCCTCTTGGTCAAAAAAAATGAGCGCGGATGTACACAAGCTTCTCTTCTCCCTCACTGAGGATCTGAACTCGGAGAACTTAGAGGCTCTGAAGTTTTTGAGCCTGGAGTACATCCCGATGAAAAAGCAAGAAAGCATCCAGGATTCCAAAGATTTCTTCCAAAAGCTGCAGGAGAAAGGCATGATAGCAGAGGATGATCTGACCTTCATAAAGGAGCTGCTGTTCAGAATAAACCGCATAGACCTCCTGACTGATAAACTGAGATCCAGCAGAGAAGAGATGGAGCAAGAGCTTAAAATCCCAGGCAAGGCTAAGATTTCAACATACAGGTAAGTAATATCATAGCAAGAACTCTTTTGTGCTTTTTGGGCTTACAAGGTCCATGTAAGGATGTTCCATTATGTGCATATTTATTCTGGTTTTCTACATGCAACAATTGTCATGTGTCCTAATCCAGGGACAATTTTACACTTTACAGCAGGGGCGGGCAATTATTTTGGGTGGAGCACTGATTACCAAGTTTTAGCAAACTGTCGAAGGCTGCATGGGTAGCCCCACCCCCCTGGTTGCCATCTTAGGACTGGAAGTCCCACCCCTAACCCCCAACCTTTGCCATCTCAGAACCAGAAAAACACCAAATTATATTCTAAAAATCAAACATCTACAACATTAATTAATTTGATTTAAAAAATATTTTTGTCCTGATTTACATGCGTTTGTGTAGTGTACATAGAGGTGATTTCACAATAGCTTAAAATGAAGTCTTTCTCTTGTATACTGTGGGGGTATGAGGTGGTGTGTATAGGTTTGTGGGGGGCTGTGGGGATGTGGTACATGGGGGAGGGTGTGGGGGTGGAGGGTGGATAGGGGTGTACTCACCCTATGAACACACACACACTCTCCCTCTCCTTCCCTCATTGCATACGTGCGCGCACATACGCACACGCACACACACACTGTGTGCTTCACTCACTATACACACACTGTGTGCTTTGCTCACTACATACACATACCCATTGTCTCTCTCTCTCTCTCTGTCCTTCTCTCATTGCTCTCTCTGTCTCTGTCTCTCCTTCCCTCATTACATGGACACACACACCCCTCCTGCTCCTGGCTCTGGGGTACCGGTGTGGCCCCATGCTCCCGTGGTCCAGCAATGCAGCCGGGGGCCATGTGGTGATGGAGCAGCTACATGCAGGGAAAGCAGCTGCAAGCAGAGGCAGGGGGGGCGGGGGGAAGGCAGGTGTGCAGCAGGGCCAGGCTGGCCTTTTTCCTGACTCCTGCCAGCTTCCCCTGGGTCCTATAGTCCCTGTCTCCTGTCATCTTTTACAGGCAGCCAGGAGCAGATAAATAAGTATTAATTTTCTAAACTTCTTAGGTGCCCGGTGAGCCAGATAAAATGATCTGGTGGACCTGAATCCAGCCAATGGGCCGTATTTTGCCCACCCCTGCTTTACAGTCTGACTTTCCACGCCCTTACATGTTTAAGGACAGGTATTTAGATTTTTACCCTAAGGCTGTTGATGGGGTCCTTGGTACTTTTAAAGCTGACACGATGCTATTTTGTAGATAGCTAGTCTCTGAGAATGTCTTCCTCCAATAGATTATCTCTTGCATCAGGATGTAAAAGGCAAAGATTTCTTAAGAAGATCTTTTTTATTGGACCAACTATGTAGTTGGGATAAAGTTAGACAAGCTTTCTAATGCAAGACGTTCTTCCTCAGGTCTCTAATCACAGGAAGTCAAGCACAGCATAATGAAAAGCAGCAGGGGCTGAGAGAAATTCTCAGGGGTAGCAAGCATAATTAGCAGAAGAAAAGAAGCTGATTACTAGGAGATCAAGGCCTATCAAAAGGGAAGAGAGTCATTTTCATATTTCTTGATGGAAAGAATTCAGGAGTTAGATAAAATGCAATGCCATAAATCCAATATCAGTGTTTAGCCCTTGGTTCTTAGGGTGCTGACAGACATGCAGCTCCCTGCTGTAACTCATGGCATTTTATAAGAAGCGCCATGAGTTACAGTGACCCCCATCCCTGATGCAACAGACATTCGCTGTTGCATCAAGAGGGGGAGAATCGAACTCAACTTTGGAGCCAATCCAGGAGAAGCTTCTGCGTGTCTGTAGCCTCTTTCCCCTACCCCTGCCCCACCCCACCCTGCCCGCTCAGCTCCAGTGCTATCTGTAAGATGGGAGAAAGAGAAAGAAGAGGGACAGAGCTGCAGGCTGGAGTTTACTCAGCCTTCACTGGAGGCTGGGTCAGGTAGATTGAAGCCCCCTGCCTCATGGGGGCTCCAATCTACCTGCCCCGCCCCCTCCTAGCACAGGTTGGGCAAACCCCAGCCTGCAGCTGTCTCCCCTTTCCCTCTCCCCATCCTGTCCTGCAGACAGCACCAGGTATGGGGCTGGGCTGCATCAGCCAAGTCCTGCTTGGGCACAGGGACTGACAGAAGTTAATGTAGCCACTCTGCTTTGGAATGACTTCTCCTGAAGCCTCACTATATAAGGGTTCATTTGTTGCATGATCGAGCACTTTTAAAGCACTCTGAAGCTATTCACTTCTGTCAGGGCATGGTTATAGAGCACTTTCAGGGGGGCAATCATGTGACAAAATGTCTCTTCTGTCACTGCCTTTAGTGTCCAGCCAGTTTATGAATTTTTGTTCCCAAGCCGATTAAAGTGGTTGATAGATTTCCCTGGAGCATGAGGATAGTAAGGTCAGAGTAGAAGGGGTTGTTTTGTGAGAAATGTGCTCCTAATGGGGTATGTCTCTCTTCCCTTTATTTATTTTTTTTTTGTGAGAGTTCATTCTGGTGTGTTGATACTGTTTAGCTTCACCCACATAGTTGCCATGGGAGCACTTAGTGCATTGGATCAGGCGTATCATATTTTAGGAAAGACATGTATAGAAACAATAGATTCTGATTTTTTTTTTTATGGGGGGTATTGATTGTGGCAGTGGAGATGTGCTGACATGTTAAGTATTTCTTGTCAAGGCACAGCTCTGTTCCACTTGCTGTCCATTTGGCAGTGGAGGAGAGTTCGCTTCTGATTATGAGTTGGGCAAGGTTAGAGACCTGTTTGAAAGCCAGGAGCCCTTGGAGGTGATGGGAGTATTTCTCTCGAGGTCTGATCTTTGTTGTGTATAGGTTGTAGTTGTTTGGTGATTCTCCTGACTGGTTCCAGTGTGGAATAGTAGGTGATCATCAGGTGTGTGCAGTTGCAGGAGGCTTTTTCGGTACTGCAACAAGTTGCTGTGGGGTATTAGGATAGCTCTTTCAAATATACGGTCTATTGCTCTACTTGTATAAAGGCAGATTTGTTGTATAAAGGCAGATTTTAGGCTCATCTGGTGGACATTATGAATGTTCTTCTCCAAGCAGATGTGGTGGTATCTGAGGGCCTAGCTGTAGATTACAGTTTTTTTGGTATACTTGGGATGATTACCACAATTCATATCCAGGATGGCATCCTATAAAGCACCGTATACAGAAAACACACAAACCACCTAACCCACACTTTTTTCAAGCAGAAGTGACCTTGCTTCACTCAGGACCAAGATCTCCGGCTTGTCCCTGGAAATACAGGCTCCCTATACATGTACTGGGGCGGGGTGCGTTTTAATTAAAGCAGTTCCTGTACAACCATTCTAATTAAAATGGCTCACCACTACATGTATTAAGCGCCTGCACATTTCAAAATGGCTGCGGGACACTTTATCTGCAGCTCATACAATGAAGTTTATATAAAGCTCCCCAACGGCCATTTTGAAATGCACGGGGGCTTAATACATGCGATGGTGAGACAACACTGGAGTTCATAGATTCATAGATTCATTCATAGATGTTAGGGTCAGAAGGGACCTCAATAGATCATCGAGTCCGACCCCCTGCATAGGCAGGAAAGAGT